GCTGTGTCTCCATCCCGAGGTGTCCAGCTTGCTCCATCTGAGCTGCTGCAGAGGATAGAGCAGAACATGTCCCCTGGAAGGGTGGGGGATTCATCTCCACTCAGGTGCCACCACAGATGTGCTCCTCTTGCTCCTCTCTTCAGGTTCAAATTGCATTTTTTTTATGGGAGGTTCTCACCTTCTCCTTCCTCAGATTTTCCCTCAATATCTAAATCATCCCGAAATCACTGGGGCACTTTCCAGCCCCAGTGACAGGACGAGGGGTCATGGCTTTGAGCTAGAAAAGGGCAGATTTAGGTTAGAGGTTAGGAGAAAGTTCTTCAGCATGAGGGTGACAGACATTGGAATAGGTTTCCCAGAGAGGTGGTGGAGGCCCCATCCCTGGGGACATTCAAGATCAGGCTGGATGAAGCTCTGAGCAGCTTGATCTAGTTGGAGATGTCCCTGCTGATGGCAGGGGGGTTGGACTAGAAGACCTTTAGAGCCTTCCAGCCCAGATCTCACCCCAAATCCCCTCGCTGCAGCTCACGCTTCTCTTCCCTGCAGTAACCCTCTGGTGCTGGAGGCCTCTCTGGGGCAGTGGAGGGTTGGGTGCAGGAGAGCAGTGCTGGTGTCTCCCTGGTGGGCACAGGGTCTCTTGTGGCTCTTGCAGAAGCACCTCCGCCGCCGGAAGTACTCCCTCTTCGCCGCCTTCTACTCGGCCACCATGCTGCAGGACGTGGACGATGCCATCCAGTTTGAGGTCAGCATTGGCAACTATGGCAACAAGTTTGACACCACCTGCCTGCCCCTGGCCTCCACCACCCAGTACAGCCGGGCGGTCTTCGACGGTGAGCAGCAGGGGTGCCCGGGCACTGGGATGGGCAAGAGGGGCACAAACTGGAGTCACCATCCTTGGGAGATGTTCCAAACCCAACTGGGTGTGTGGGCAACCTGCTCTGGGTGACCCAGCTGGAACAGGGCTTGAACCAGATGACCTCCAGAGGTTCTTGTCCACCTCCAGCGTGCTGTGAAGGGGGGATATGTGGTTTGGGAGGAGGGGGAAGCCAGGATGGCTTCTCTCAGCTCTGTGCTGGACTGAAGTGGGTCTTGGGCAGCACCTTGATGATAACGGTGCCCATTTTTCTTCAAGGAAGAGTCAGTGCTTTGGGGTGGCCTTTCCTTGGCCCCTGTGGGGCTCTCACTGAGGTGTGAGTTGTCCTCACCACGCTGGGGTGGTTCTGCTGGGCTGTGGCCTCACTGCTCTGCAGGAGCTGCTGCAGGCATGGAGGTTGGCCCGTGTCCCTTTGGACCTTGGTGTGCGTTGCTCTGTTGCCCATGGGTTTGGGGAACATAATTCCCATCCTCCTGCTCCAGAAGAGCCCCAGAGATGGGCTCTGCCCCAGGCCAAATGCTGCACTGCTGCACCTCAGCTCTGCCCCAGCCCTGAGCGGTGGGCTCCAGCATCACCCCAGTACCAGGAGCTGACCAGTGGTCCTGTGCCCCCCAGGCTGTCAGTATTACTACCTGCCCTGGGGCAACGTGAAGCCCGTGGTGGTGTTGTCATCCTACTGGGAAGACATCAGCCATCGGACTGATGCCCAAAACCTTCTCCTGCATGCAGCAGACAGGCTGGTGAGTGCCGTGGTGGCAAGGAGCATCATCCACCTCCTTTCTGCATCCCGCCTGGGGGGACAGGAGGGGACAGAGGCCTTCTCCAGGCTGGGTCAGGTCTGGGGTTTGATGGCTCTTGTGCCTTGGAGGAGAAGACTGTTGGGTGTCCCGAGTGTCCCACTCAGCCCAGGGAGGGAGGGAGGGAGAGGGACCCTCCTCACCCCCACTGGGTGGCAGAGGGGTGTGAACACAGTGCTTGGCCATGCCCCCCACCCCCCTGCTGGTGCAGGCACAGGAGGCAGGGACCTTCCTTCTGCCCCTGAGCTGTTCAGGGGATTGCTTGTTCTGTTTAATAGGATCATAGACTGGTTTGGGTTGGGAGGGACCTTAAAGATCCTCTTGTCCCAAGCCCCCTGCCATGGCCAGGGACACCTCCCACTAGACTGGGATGC